GCGGTCCAGTGGTTAAACAATAAGGCCACCGTTCGTTCGTCGATCAGTGAAATACGCCTCTGCAAAAAAATCTGATTTTGATTTTCTTTAAAAAAATTTACTTTGACTAAGGTGCGTTTTACCGGATACGTTTTGAAAGCACGATCTGCGGATTCTCCAGTCTTACTGCGTTTTCACTATTAAAATCTCGTTTAACGTGCACATGTATGGAAGATTTAAGATTGAAAATGCGTTTAATGAAGAATAATGTAGTGCAAAGGCTTTGGTCGGAACTGGTACTCGCCTTTGTTGAGGTAATATTGCTCGAAAAAATTCATGGTAGCTCTGTAATAGCAAATTTTTTTTCGACCTTATTAGAAAAATATGATTGGTCGATTGTTTACCTACCAAGGATGTTTACGCCCCGTAAGGCGTGAGTCATCTACTGGTCTCGCGAAGTAATGAACAGTGGTAGCACAGCTGTAACTCAACAGAGTAGTAATTTCTCGGGAAAGGATTTTTACAGCAACATATCGACCTGTATTTAAGCGATCGGTGTGACACAGTTAGGGAAGTGTTTGCCATGTTCTGGGAATGGCCTCGGTTCGGCTGGTTCTGAGATTACCTGGACGAAAATCCATGCCTATATAATCAACCGGAAATGTCACTTGCGGTATTACCGTAATTTCATTACCGTAATAAGGCGCATACACACCCTTTCTTGGCTACCGATTTATGTATAGTTTAAACAGAATTACATTCCCGCAATCATAATGGACCATTCTAAGCTCGATAATCCCGGAGTTATTGAGCGTAGAGTTGTCCATTGTGATGGTGGATCCAACGCTGGCTACTGTCACAACGCATATTAAAGCGAATGAATGTTGTTTAAGCGGCTCATCGTGTTGTGATTTTTTGATCTGATTAGCTTATCATGAGCGCAGGGTGAATGCCAGCATGACTGCGTACTTTATCGGAAGTTGACCAATTGTTTTTGATCCTGATTTTAGTTTTTGTCGTTCTGCCGTTCGTGCCGGACGTTCTAATAAATAAGGCCTGCAATCTGGCCGCACCGTGATTTTCTCGCTTCTGGTAATGGTTATCACTAGTTGCTTCGTGACCTCGCATTCTTTTCCAACCTGAACACTCATCTGCTTCCCGGAAGCGCTGTATAAGGAATTCCGGTTGAGATATTTTAAAAGTATCGTTGTAATACAATCCCATCACGACCAACAAACTCGTATGCTATCGGCAGGGTGTAAAAGGTGGCAGTGGCACCTGCCACTGGCAATCGCCACTGGCACTGGCAGCGTAGTGGCAAGCGGTAAAACATGGCAACTGGCAACCGCTAATATACTATGTTTTATAGTACTGTAACTAAAGAAATTAAAACTGCAATCATCAGAATACTAAAAATACCGTTTTTATTTTCCACTTCAACTCATTACTAAATTTTCATGGAAAACGTCTGCGTCTGATGTGAAGAATTACAAAACCGTTATCGTAGATCCGTACTACAAAATCGCAGTTACAAAAAGAACTGCTTATGTTCGTACTAAAAGTATTTGTAAGCTATGATACCCAGATTCGTAAACGAGACAAATCAAAACTCTGTGGCCTGGGATATAACAAAATCAGCCTCAACCGTACCATTGTTTCTGTAGCCGGGTTCCGGACACAGATTTTACGACGAGAAAACACTCTACGACTTACCATGTCTGCCCGGGAAATGAACACTTTGCCACATAGAAAAATTAACTTAAATGCAATTTTTGCATTTCAGTTTTGAATACTTTCATTAGCCGATATCGATATGTTACAGCTTGCACCCGTCAAATTTTCGAACCATAGCTCACGTCACATCAGAAATTTATATCTAAGAAATAAATCCTAAGAAATCTAAGAAACCAACGAAACCTAAATAACTTAAGAAATACTTACAAACTCAAGAAGTGACCATGCAGTTTACCGGTGAGACGGTGACTACACAGAGAAGAAAAACTTGAGATTAACGTACGAGGACACACTAAGTATACGTGATAGACAAAAAATTAAGCGAGAATAAGTGATAACCATGAGGCTTGGCGAGTATTGTAGCAAGATTGTTTCACTTAGACTCAGTGGCGACTTTCGTAGCAAGTTGTGCACCGTATCGCTTTAGTTTACCGGTACCGTGTCAGTTTGTCAATACTGACAGTATCCTTTGCCTGAGACAGGCCGAGTATTAGCTCATTAAGAGTATTAGGCCGAGTATTAGACTCATGTCAGTTTTGACTGATTGACCAGACAAGCGTTCACTGTCTTTAAAAAATGAAACAAACGTGCTACAAAACTCGCCACTACTGAGGACACACTAAGTATACGTGATAGACCAAAAAACCAGCGAGAATAAATGATAACCAATCACGTGTTGTGCAGCACACCCAGCCACCAAGGGTTGGCGGTCCAAGTATTGCGTAGTAAACAGCTCGTCTTTATAGACGCGTATGCTGACTTCCAGCTCTCGTTCCTCGTGTACTATGGAACGAAACAATTTGACGAATATAGCAAAAGATGCAGAAAAAATCTAAAAATATTTTGATACCCAACAAGTTGCAGTTTATAGCGATTAAGACAATAGATAGCCTTTTTGAGTTTCTCGTAGACATAGCATAGGATTCTGTGTGGGGAATGGATTCTATGCTAAGTCTACGAGAAAATAAAAATAGCTGTAATCTTTTTGAATCTGTCTAATACTCGGCCTAATACTCTTAATGAGCTAATACTCGGCCTGTCTCAGGCAAAGGATACTGTCAATATTGACAAACTGACACGGTACCGGTAAACTAAAGCGATACGGTGCACAACTTGCTACGAAAGTCGCCACTGAGTCTAAGTGAAACAATCTTGCTACAATACTCGCCAAGCCTCTGTGTCCTCGTACGGAATAACTGCATCTGCCATGTGAGCGGGGGTTCACTAGCGTTCACGCTCGTGACGCTACTCGCCACTGGATTACGTGTCTGTGTTGTGTCTCGCCTCTGATTGGCTTATGTTTTGTTAGTGGGCGCGGCATAGCACGTGCTGCACAGTGTTACAGTGTGGAATGGGCTCCCGTTTACGATCGAGCTGCGCCGATCAGTATTGATTTTCTGTTCTCCGGACTTTTCGATATTAAAAAGTCAGCGATTTACGGTGCGACGTTTGTGTTTCCGCATAGTTCGCGATCCAGGTCGTATCGCTCACTTCCACGGGATAGATTCCGTTTCAGTCTCCGTCTCTGGATCCATTCTGGATCTAGCTTTAGATGGTAGCAGAGCCGACAGCGGTTCTCTGATTTGAATTTGTGTCAGGCAAAGTTGGCCTGTTATTTGATGTGCAACCCGACCAGTAAGGCACAGGTCCATCCAACAGCAAAGCGCACACCACAAGCGGTGAACTGCCTCATCTGATGTGGATTTCCAGCCTTGGCTTCGGTGCAGCGTCTTCAGCGAAGACCTGTGCTGTTCCACTGCTGTGAAAGAGTTCAAGAGTTCAGTCGGCGGTGTTCCTCGGTGCGGAGTCTTCAGCGAAGACCTGCACTGGTGTCACCGTTACTCGGCAAGGATTCAGCGAATCCTAAGCCGTGGGCCACAAGCGGCGAAGCGCCAAAAGGGGCGCACGGATTTTGCCAGATCAGACTCCTCCAAACTGGAGTAGAGCACCACTATTGTTGCTACGGCACAGCCGGCACAGTAGCATACTGATAGCGCGAGGCACGCTACGGAACAGCGGCGACGCGGGAACGGATTGTGGAAGAAGAATCTGGATCATTCGGATCATTTTCCCCGTGGAACGTGGAACGGACGGACGGTTAACAGGTAGAAAACCGTTATAAAATTACGGGATTGGTTAAACGGTAAAATTGGCAATTTTCATTGGTCCGTACTGAGCTGAGCGTAGATGTAGGCGGAGTTTTGCACACGGTGCGCAAGTCTGGCCGTTGACCGTGACGTCAGGCAGATATAAATTTTAAACGGATTAACGTGATTAGTCAGTTGTCTGAGCTGTGATTGGTCGAAATTTGAACTGAATAATTTGAACTAGCGGACCAATAGGAACGAGGTAAACAACGTAAATGGGTATTTTCCGCTGAACTCTAGCTGTAATGGGAAATTTGATTTGAGATAAGATAATTGAGACGAAAAGTGACCTTTTGAGTTGAGACAAAGGAAAAGTGACCTTTGATCGAATTGAGCTTAAAAGTGACCTTTAACTTGAATTGAGCGGGAAAGTGACCTTTTAACAGAAATTGAGTTGGAAAGTGACCTTTTGAGTTGAACTGAGTAGGGAAGTGACCTTTGAGCTCAGAAAGTGACCTTGACGTTCGGAAGTAACCTTTATAAAAAAGTTACAAGTGACCTATTTGACCTGAAAAGTGACCTTTAAGACCTGAGAGAGACTAATGGTGACCTTTAACGAAGTGAATCCAAGTTTCTGAATAGTACAGTGATATCAACAGCTGTAGAATAACCTTTCTGGATGTGTTCTAAATCGTAAAACTGGTTTCGAAGTTTTGGTCCAAAAGTGACCTTTTGGGCAAACCTCTCGAAGTTTTTATCGGAAAAGTGACCTTTAAACGGGACTTAGTCGAATTTTTTTCAACCAAAAAGTGACCTTTACAAAGGACTTAGAAAAATCTCGCAAAGAAAAAAGTGACCTTTAAGGCAATTGAACGAATCATACAATAACGCGTGTGTGAGAACAATTGGCAGGAGCGTCCAAGTTATCCGATCAACATGGACAAAGATAAAGAAGAACCGACATCCAACAGCAGTCAGGGAAGCAAAAGCTCCCGCAGCTCACAGCAAAGCGCACCGAACCCGTACAAAAAGGACTTGCACACATACTCACGTCCAGTTGGACATGAGCGGAACACTCGAGCGCCCAAGGCATTCGAGAAGAAGGATTCACGAGGCTCTGATAGCACTTATTAGAAGGCGCTCGAGGCGGTCGCCAATCAGGAAAGCTCCAGTGACGACCAGAAGCACACTCCCGCATCCATGGCGGGAAGTGAACCGATGAACCAGAGAAAGGTCACGGGGGAGGAAAAGCCCACAGAAAGAGGAGCGGAACCGGTTGGAGCATCACAGTTGGATCTACCACCAGCGGAACGATTGAACAGGATAAAAATGTGAACCTGGCTCAGTTGGCAGCTAACAAGACAAAGGTCACCGAAGAGGAACTTGCTGAATTGGGATTGGATGACCTTTCATTGAATGACAAGACTGTGGACGATGACCTTTGGGCTACTCCAATGGTGTCAGATGAATCAAATGAATCATACTTCACGGACGATGAAACGACCATGTCATTCCAATCCGCAATGAGACAAGCTGACCGTGCTGAAGGGATGACACCTTTCAAAGAGATACCAGAGTACCTTATCGAACGGACGCAAACTGGAAAGGTCATTAACGTACGACCTCCGTCACCTAACAGTCCCACGTCAACTCTGAAGAGACGCGTGAAGGAGTTGGAAGAAGAGCTCGAAGCCAAGGAAGGCCAGGAGATGAAGAAGAAACAGGAATATCAAAACCGGATAGGATCTCTGGACGCTCGCATTTACGAATTGGAGCAACAACAGGCTGACTTGGAAAGTGCAGCGGACGGATGGAAGATTAAATACGAACGTCAAAAGGAACTGGCCGAAGAGTATTTGAAAATGGTAGATGACAGAGAAATGGAAGGTCATCTTGCAGTCAGTGACCTTAATGAAAGTATGTCAGAGGAATCAGCAGAAAGGTCACGGCACTTAGCCGAATTGAAGGACGAGTGTGACCAGTTGCGTCAAAAGGTCACTGAAGCTGAAACTAAACGGGACGAGTACGCGACCAAATTCGCAGAGGTCACACAACGGTTGACAACATTGGCAACGGATACGTTCAAAATAAGTAATGCCCTGAAGCTACGGGAGAAGGCTGTCAGTACTCTGCAACTCGAATCGAAAGGTCATCAGGAACGGGCGGACGAAGCTGAGAAGTTGCGCAATGATGCGATCAAGGCGATGCGAGAGGCAAGAGACATTACAGCTACTGAAGGAGAACGCCTGAAAGAAAAAATCAAAAAGGTCAACCAGGAGAACGAAAAGGTCACGGAAGACATTGAAAAGGTCACTAAGGAAGGACTCAAATGGCAGAAGGAAGCACGGCGACTGGACACAATGGTCACAACATTGGAGCTGAAGGACAAAGAATGGCAACAACAGGTAGCTCAAAAGAACCAAGAAGTCACAAAGCTGAATACTGAACTGCTCGAGATGACAACTACAGCACTGGCAAAAGACGATGAGTTGATTGCAACCAAGAATCAGCTGAAAGCAGCAGCTGAGGAATACATGACATTGGAAAGAGATGTGACCCAGTTGGCGGAACACATCAGGAAAGTGGAAAATGATACTGAAAAGGTCATTCAAGACAGAACGCTTCAACTGCATCAGCAGATGTCGAAGGTCAACCAAGAGAACCAGAACCTGAAGAATGAGAAAAAACAATCCGATTTAAGGATTAAGCGCCTCGAAGATGAGAATAAAGCTCTTCAAATGTCCAACAAACATAAAGATGAACAACTCTTACAACACGGAGTCAGAACAGCAACGGTGGAATCGCCCCCGCCTAGTTACAGCAAGACGCATGAAACGGGCACGGGTAAAAGCTTCCACTTTGACATGCCGCTACGAACTGGTACTGGCAAAGGAAGCGTCAAAAATGAAAGGGACGGTGAAAAGGCTAAAGACGACAACGAACCACCATCAGGAGGTTATCCACATACGAGTCGAGGTGACCCTTCACAATTTCCTCCGCACATCGAAACAAATGTGTTCATCGATGAAGGACGACGGGACAGACCCCCCAGCCGGCAGGAACGTCCAAGGAAATCCCGTTATGGAAAGGCGAAACGAAATCAAAGTGATGATGGAAGTAGCGAAGAAGACGATGACCAGAGAGCAGAAAATACAGCGGTGCAATTGACAAAAGCACTCAACTCGATGGCCAGGAAAACACCACTCATGACCTTTGACGGCAGTCGTGACACAGTGAGTGGGTGGACACGATTGGTGAAAGAAACCCAAAGGACTTAAAAGCTGACGGACGACCAAATCATGATTGAGATAGCCAGTGCGGTGAAAGGTCCTGCCAAAACTTGGTTCGAAGGAGAAAAGGACATCGCAGCAGAAGACGGAATCGAATACTCAATAACCGAATGGATGGACAAATTTAAAGATGAATACGGTGACCGAGATGAAGAAGTCTTAGGCTTACGTGAGGCCTACGGAAGGAAATTTGAACTCGGAAAAGAATCGCTTGACCAATACTATCAAGCGATGATGCGGTTTAAGGCAAAGAGAATCATTACTGAGAAACAGGCCGTGGGCTTCTTAATCGAAGGATGTAGAGTCGACAATGAGCTCTACAAAGCCCTGCGTATACAAAAGTGCAAGACGCCAACGGACGTGAAGGATTTCTTTCGACATTGGGCCACCGGCGAAGAGAAATATAAGGCGCCTAAAGGTCAACGTAACCAGGAATACGTGACCATCCGCCAAGGCCAAGTCGAAAATGTGCCGAAACAGAGAATGGCAGCTGCACCAGTTCAGCAACCGGTTGAATACCGAGTGGAGACTCCGGTTAGAGAGGTCACGGAAAAAGTGACCTTTATCGACAGTCAGACGGGGCAACCGGTAACGTACGCAATGGTAGCGGCGATACAAGCGGCAGCTCAAGTGAGACCGGTACCTCAGAATGTGGCTCCACCAGCTCCACAGAACGTGGCCCCAATGAACGTTGGAATACCACAACAAGGAGCGGGGAACGGAAATTTTGGTGGAAATGGATACGGATATGAAAATGCAAACTGGAACGGAGGACAAGGAAATTTCCAGAATCAAGGTCAAGGTCAAGGCAACTTTCAGCCAAACAGAGGAAACCAGAACAATAACCAGCAAAATCAAGGGTCACGAACCGAATTCAAGTTCCAGATGATTGATGGATGGGTGGCGAACAACGTTCAGATGTGCCAGTACTGTATGTATGGCAATCATCAGACACAGGGGTGCAAATTCGCCAATACACCACCAGAACAGAACCCGAACCTGTTTGCCTTTAACGAGTGGCAACGATTGCGCGGGCTTGGTGGTTGGCGCCTAGCAGTGAATAATGGATATGACCTCATTACCCAGTGGTACTAGCATAAAGCAAACTTCCAAAACCAACAAGGGAACGGAAACGGCAACAATGGAAATGGAAATGGCGGTGGCCAGAACGGTGGCTACGGCCGTGGTGGCTTCGGCCGCGGCGGCTTCAGAGGAAGAAACAGAGGCTTTGGCCGCGGGAATTTCAGAGGAGGCCAGAACAATGGAGGCGGCCAAGGAAACTACCGACAGGGTGGCGGCCAGTACAACAACGGCAATGGACAGAATCCTAACCCGGCAAACGATATCGGACAACAACAAGGAAATGTGCAGGGAAATGTGCAGGGCGCGCAACAAGGCGGGGCGCCGGTTCAGTAGGCAAGATCAGTAGGCACCGGTGAGCCTACTGATCGACCCGACCCTAAACCACCGGATAAAAGGGAACGGAAAGGTCACTGCAGAATGGTACTGCAGTGAATGTGACCACTACAGCAGCTATATGGATGCCGTCAGCGCAAAAAAGGAAACAGCTAGATGGATGCCGCCACAGCAAGAGAAACGGCTATATGGATGTCGTCTTCGCAAAAGGAAATGGAACGGTTATAGGGATACCGTCACAGAATCAAAGGTCACCGCAGAATGGTACTGCGAGTGGAAACATAACGGGACCAAAGGTCACCGCAGAATGGTACTGCAAGTGAAAATTGTCGTGACGGTAGCGCGACACTGCAAAAAGTGCAGCAAAACGAAAGGTCACCGTATTGCAGCGAAGAAGTGTTAGCGCAACGACGCGCACAACAAAACGCAAAGATTAAACAGGCGTTGCTGAATCAGAAGAAACCGCAGAACGATACTGCGCAAGAAGAAAATGAGCAACATGCGAAATTCCGGAAATACTTGGCGGAAAACGATAAGACGAATGAGCCAAGTTGCGATTGTTACGGAGAACTAAAGCCGAAGTTCTGGAATTGTTCCGAGGACGAGGAAGAGAAGCTGATAAGGCAAAAATGGATGGAACAGAATATCACTGTACCCAGTAAAGATGAAAGGTCACCTTCTGTTGGAAAAGCCCAGGTGAAAGGTCAAGGAGTGAGTGTGAATGTTAAAGGTCACGGTGAAAGCGCCGTGTTACAAGGTCAAGAAACTGACTTGACACTGCGAACAGCAGCAAAAGAATAGCGAAACGACACAACAGAACTCCGAGGACTCACTTGTGGATGCAGTAACACTACAACAGAAGGAGAAGTGGCAAAAAGTGGCCTACAGACCGAATGGCAATCACGGGATGTGGATACCCGTAACGTCAAAAGCGAAGCAGAAAGCGGGAATGTCACAGGAGGATTACTGGGACATGCAACAGTTGCGAACGCAATGTGAAAGAAAGCGATTAGAAGAGTTGGTTACCGGGAAACCAACCCAAGGGTCACCGAACCCAGTCCCAGCATTCAATGTAGAGGAATATAAGAAGACATTCGCCGATTGGAATTACTCACGTAATGCTCCGCCACAGGATAAACCGCCGAATTATGGAGAAAAAGTCCCCATACAAAAGTTGACGGGCGGCGGATTTGTCATGAAGCGCAACGAAAGGTCACAGGACTTAGCGCAAAACGAACAAAAAGGACGATCAAACGAGATGGCACAAACGCAACAGAGCAACGCAGTCGAAAGGTCACGGGACTTATCGCAAGCACTACAGAAGGATGCTAACGACAAGTCACCAGCCCGAACAGACGGGATGTCTTCACAAATTGATCAGACGAAAACGAACAATGAAGTGTCCGCGAAGGTGATCGAATGGATGACCGAAAAAGGATATGATATGATTACATATGAAAGGTCACCAGATGAGATGAAAGATAGCGAAGAAGTCGAATTGAAGCGAGCGGACCAAATAACAAGTGAAGTCATTGAGAAGCTGCGAGAAAAGCGAAATGAAAACTGTAAAGAGGAACTGATCCATCAAACGATAAATGAAGTGACAAAAGGTCACGTGGATAGCACAAAAGCAAATGAGCAAGTGCAGGAAGTTGAAAAGGTCAACAGTGGTAAAATGGCTACAGAGAAGCAAACGGAAAAGGCAAAGCCGCGCAAATTTTACGATGTTCGAACTAACGTTCCACACAGGATCGATAAGCTGAGCGAAATACTGAAAGGTCACAGCACTCCAGCTAGAGGACAAGTGCTTCCCGATATGGATCCGGGACCAGTATCGCTCATTCCTGTGAAATGTAAGATTCACACCTTGAAGATTCAAAACGGAAAACTGCCCAAGAGAATTGAAGCGTACACACATGAAGTGAAAGTGGGAGACATAAAGGTCAACGCAATGTTAGACACCGGCGCTGAGACGTCGCTGATCAGCAAACCGTTTTGCGAGAAGAATGGACTCACATGCTCTCATCGCCACCAGACAGATTGGTGAAAATAAATGGAATTAGTGGAACGTCAGGATTCCTTGTGACGTACTCACGTAGCACCAGTGACCTTAAGGAAGAAGACAAGCGAACATTCATTCTACGTCCGACCGAAGTGTGACGGGACGTACAAGTGTTATTGGGATTTGACTTCTTGGAAATGAAATTCGTACTGATGGACAATGAAGGTGAAGAAGAAAAGGAAGATGACCCGAAACCAGTTGCCAAAGTACAAGTCGGAAAGGTCACCGAACTTATAAAACAGGAGAAAATGTTCAAACGGCTAATAAAACGCTAATCCAGTACCAGGCACCGGGAAACGAAAAGAAAAGATGAAAAGCAAAAAGAATTGTCACCATTTGAGCAGTTGCAAATGATTCAACAGGAGATTGAAAACACGTTAAACGGACAATGCTGAC